GATCATCACGAGGTAGGATAAACCTGCTACTCGAAACCTGGTCAAGGACCAGCGGACCAGGAGTTCAGCTCCACACCCACAGTAGATTGAGTTTTAACAGTTTAACAGCTGAACAATGCACAGATCATAAATTAGATCAAAACTAATATCTCATTTGTGCCTTGCACCATTATCATCACGAGGTAGGATAAACCTGCTACTCGAAATCTGGTCAAGGACCAGCCGACCAGGAGTTCAGCTCCACACCCGCCGTAGATTGAGTTTTAACAGTTTAACAGCTGAACAATGCACAGATCATAAATTAGATCAAAACTAATATCTCATTTGTGCCTTGCACCATTAGCATTTTTGTGACACCTTAACTTAACCCCATAAATTGCCGAACCTGGAAACTGGTACTCGGAAATCCATTGTCTGATTGTCTGATTGTCTGATTGTCCCTTTTCGGCCGACAAGTCAAGAAGTCTACTGTTCTATTGTCGGAGAATTGACTAATATGAGAAACAGATTGTTTTTCTTTGCTGGATAATAGTATAATCATTATTCCAAACCTACCCTCTTAGAAAATCTTGGGGGCTGGAAAAGATCAAGTCGTTGAAATTTGAAACCATTCCATTTCCATGCATGTTTACAAGCTAACTCAGGGATGCAACCATTTTTTTTTCAATCATCTTTCCCAAATTTGCATCCCCTGAAATCAGAGTATGTTCACAAAGTAGTAACCATCACTTCTGTTTTCCCCTGATGAACCTTTTTCCATTTAGTATCAGCAAGGAATTTGTCTTCACCAACACAGTTGCTAAACAATGCTACCGGCAGAATCTGTTACATTCAACTGACCAAACATTAACCTGCCAGAAACTGGGAGAACTCAAAATCTCAGATTGCTCCACCACCTCTTTTGCCATTGTCGACTACATGGATCCGAATGGTATGCTTGATGGATGCCACAGGCCTAAAATCCAAAAATACAAAGTGGAATACATCGCTTGAGTTGAATCAAAAGTCTATCATTTAACAGAAACAAATCAATGCAGCATATGTGAGCAATAAATTGACACTCGATAATACAATCTGTTTTTCATATCAAAAGAATAAGATATGGGAGATGCAACATAACTGCAATATTTTGTTTTCCAGAATTGTGGTTTTGCATTAGCACAGAATAAGTGAAAGTAGATGAACAGAAATTCACTTGTATTTTAGTGAATTCATGCATTAAGCAATTTAGCTTTTCTTAGTCATTTCATGCCAACTTTGATCAGGAAGTTCATGAGAGAAATACCTGACAACAACTAAGACTTCTGCAAATTCACTTCAGCCTTTTTTGCACTTCACGTCTTCACCAATCATGGTATGTATCCATTGTCACGGTAATAGTTGAAACTTTATCCTGCAGATACGTTAGAGCAAACTCAAATCTCATATCCTACTGATTTGAAGATAGCTACTAACTGAATATAATCTCTATCAGTGCCTCATGTAATTCTAAAATCACAACACATTCTTCTACACAGGAAAATTAGCTCCAAATGATGAAACCAGGGGATAATCAAATTAGCAAAAGATACACATGCTCATATACCCAAATTAGCCATTATAAAAACTCGATAATAAAAAGAACAGCCACTTCCACAGATATTAGTTGGACAATCTTACCTAAAATTTGATGGAGCTGGAATAGTGACTCTGCTTCTGCAAACTTGTCACTGGTGCAACTATCTGGAATAGCCAATTCTGGGATCTTGGTTCTATAAGGTCAATTACTTGTGAAGTCCCTCTTCTGAAAACTTTCCTTTGGACATGAGTTGCAATGTTGTTCCTTTAATAATCCATGCAGTTTGTTCTGGCTTATCTTCAAAAGGATTAAGGGGATGCAGACTTCCATCCTCAATTTGTGCACCATATATAAATGGTAGTCGAAGTGTAACAAAACTCTCTGGGGGTAAGATCACTTGGCATCCAATGCTGAACTGCAACTTTTGCTCATGGTCCAGTACTGGTGGAAGTAGGCATGATGTCTGGCAGATGAAAGCCATAACAGAAGGAAATTTTAACTTACTATTATTGATAAAGCTATTACCATTATTTAGTGAAAGCATCTCTATCACTGGATGGTTATGTAAGGAAGTAACATTTAAAATTCCCTCACTCCCCATAAGACCATCAAGTTAAATACTTCAGACAACAAAAACAGAAGAAACTTAAAAAAATGAAAAATAAAAAAATAAAAAATGAATCTTGTACAGTCTTGGTAATTCATAGCTAACCCACATAATTTTAAGAAAGGAAGTGAGAAATACCTCAAATTGTATTACTGGACATGTAGCCAAAACAATGGGAAATGGTGGTGTGACCTGCAAACAAATTCTATGGATCAGGAATTTTTTATTGAAGGAAATGTAAAGAGAAGACTATCAACATTTTGTACCATAAAAATCCTCTGCAGCTGTGATATTGAACTGGCAAATTTAACCTCAGGGGGATCTTTCCTACTCTTTGCAGACTTGCAGTGTGGGCAGTTCATGTATACTGGTAGATTTCTATTCAACATGGAGAAAGCACACCCACCATCATCAAGGCTAACAGAATGAAAGCTTGCTTCAATATCTTTTACTGAGACAGGATAACCTGCCATACTCAGGAATTTCTGATTATGGTTCTTGTCATGCATGGAGAATGGTGTTTGCCCATCTTTATGCAGATTACCATTTGGTACTTCTTTTGGCTTATCCTTATTTCTCACCTTATTTACAGCAGTCAAAGCAGCAACACCATTTGGCTTCTGATGGATTTTACCACGCCCACCATTCTTAATCAAATTTGAAGAATCTGCCAAAGTGTGTTCTGAAGTTTCTGCAGAGTGAGGGATCTGGGATTCTTCAACCAATGAATATGGGGACCCAAGTTGATTGAGATGCTCTGGATTTAATAAGAAGCGGTGGCCACGGGGGCACTCATGCTCAAAACCAACATACACTATCACATTCTTCAAACCAGGGTTCAGTTTTACCTTTTCATTGCTACTCACCTGAATAGGAACTACGTTACTGCCTATCTGAAGAAAGGGGTCACTACTAGTGCCACCATTAGAACTGATGACATTCAAGGTTTTCTTAACAGATGAAATCCCAGTAGATTTTCTATCAATAGCTGCTTGAGTCCTTTCAATAGTCTGATCACTTGCCTTATTTTTCTTCATACCTTTTCCAGACACAGATGAAGGTTGTTTCCTTTGCTGCAGAGGTGGGAATCCTGAATCCAAGGTGGCAGACCCAGCAACAACTTCAGCAAATGGTTTTTTCATGGTGAAATTAGGAAGACCTCTACCAAAACTGATCTTGTTACCATTGAAGTTGCCAATTTCCAAGAATGTATCTGGATTTTCAACTGCAGTCTGTACTTCGACAGAATACTCTGTGGGACCAGCCTTCTTCATCTCTATAGTTGAAGACAAGTCAGCAATGAGGCCTGTGCTAGACCTACTTACATAACTATGTTTCTCTAGAGTTCTCGCAGGTAAGCCACTTGGCATTTTCTGTTTCTCTTGAAATATAGTCCACTTAAAAAGAAATCTCTCAGTAGCAGAAAACCCACTCTGAAGCAGACCTTTAGAAGGCTCATAGTACTTTGAACCTCCAATACGGATCAAACTCCAAGATGATGGCTTTATTGCTCCGGTACCGATTCTTTCTGGTAGCTGGAGCCCAGGAAGAAGCTTATCACATTCTAGAAAGCAACTAGAAATAGAGTTTGCTGATTCGAAATCAAAAGGGTCAGATCGTAATCGCCGACTACGGCCACAAGAGCAAGCATGGAGGAAACCATATCCACTAGAATGCGGATTTGTTGTAGCTCCCGAAGGTGACTCACCAGTCTCAGTATCATGCCTCTGGTGCATGCATGGCTTTCCCGTCAAACTAACAGCATCACATAGCTGCCTCCCAGATTCCCATATTGATGTGCACTCTTCTTCCAACCTTTTTGCATATGGTTCCACTGCAGGTCCCCTGACCATTGAGTGGAAAGCATGCATAGCCTTTTTCAGATGAGCTTCATGCTGTAAAGTGGGATAAAAAGCAGGCAAGTCTTTCAAATAAATATCCTTTGCTGCTGGTAGGGCTCTTTCACACCACAAATTAGAAAATTTTCTGTTCAGTCCTCGACCACTTTCCAACCAAGATAGTGCCATGGCTAGAGGATCATTACTTCTTGAAGCAATCCCTTGAGCCTGTGAAGTAATAGTATTTCGATGCTGTTTCCTCCTTCCTGTTTCAGTTTCATCCATGTTTTCAGATTTTGCAGAGAGTATTCCATAAAGAATAAGCTGACTAGATGATACCCATATATCCAAACTTGGAAGTTCAGGTGTACCAACTGCCTTTCCAGATGCAGCTGAGGCTGCTGCCACAGCAGCTGCAACCGCAACTATACCAACACCAGAAGCTGAGGCACTATTGGTATTGGCAACTAACCCCCCTCTTCCTCGTAAAATATCAGACTGCTTATAAATGAACTCTTTCACAGATACAATATCCTCTTTGTATGAACTCTGACTATGGGTTTCAAGCAAAAGAGAATCAGAAGTTGCTTTTCCATTCAAGACATCTTCCACTAGGCTAGAAGCAAATTCCAGAGATTCACCTTTCTGATTGTTCAACCTTTCCAGTAGCACAACAGCCCTTGATGCATCAAGTGAAAACAGAGGGGCAGAACTTGAAACACCCCCACTTCTTGCCCCGGCGTGACCGCCTTCATGACCTGAGAGTATTCGGCATTTCTTAATCAAAAAACGGATCTGTGCTTCAAGGGATGACTGCAGCTTCTTCTTGAAACCACCTTCAGACTTACTAATAGGGCGTGCTAACACAACGACAGAACCAGAACCTTTCCCTGGAAGGGCAGGCCTAACTGAGCTGTTCAGACTAGAAGACGTCTCCACAGACTCCTCAACACTAGAACTAGGATTTGGTGCATCAGATATATCATCAATAAAAACAAATAATGTGACAGGGGTACACTGCCCGGGGAACAAAGAGGTGTAGGAACCTAAACCAGACATAAGAGAGATAGCTGATGCATTGCGACTCAACAAACCACCACTTCTGCCTGGAGAAGTGCTAGAAGCAGTTGTTGATGTTGAAGGACGAGAAGATGATGAAGAATGACCCCTCAATGGCAGTGATGGTGTGGTTAGAGATTTTACATAAGGGATTAAGGAATGCTTAGCAGCTTGCAGGATTCGAAATTTTTTCAATATTTGAGTATCAATGCGTGAACCCTCTAGGATATATATGATTACATGGCACACCTGCAGAATGCAGATTGATTATTTCATCAAAAAAGAAAAAGAAAAAGAAAAAAAAGGTCCATTAATGAACTCTAATAAATTCTACAAAATCAACAACAAGTAAAATACTATGATCACAATGTTCTTTACTGAAGATATCAAAGTTGATTTCTACTAAACAAACTTGCAAAATTAAAATTAGTGAACTTTTTAAAAAACAGTAATAATAATAAGAAGAAGAAACTCACAGAGAACATGAAAAGCAATCCCTGAAGATTCCCTAACTCCTGTTCATCCACGACCTCATCAGAGCCCGACCCGGAACACCATGACCCCTCAAAAACAGGGCAGCTAGTCGGGCAAAATTGCAAGAATAGAATCCCTTTATCCTCCTCGTGATGGTAGCTAATCCTCCTGTGCCTAAACCAACCCTCCACTTCCACTTTATCGACAGAGAGAACCCTGTCCATACGACCCGACCCGAAAACATTAGAGTCAAGCACCTGATTGATGAGGTGGGAGGAATCATCCGGTCTCCGGGCAATGAACCCGACAACCACCACTCCGTCTGGAGAACGAGGCTGAGAAGCAAGGGATGGTAATGGTAATGGAGCTGTTGGATCCGAGGAGGAAGCAGGTGTAGGTGTAGGTGTAGGTGTAGGAGGAGGAGTAGGCTTAGGTGCAGGTGGTGGGCGGGTCAAGACCCGCATTGTAGGTGGGTTTGGAGAGTCCATGACATGAAAAGGGGTTAAGTGGGTTGGATTTTTGGGACTTCCATGGAGAGGGAAAGATCTGGTTGTGCGTCAAACGAGCAACGACGTCAAGACTCTGCCTTTCTTCTTGCTCCTGCGTCGGCTAAAACCAATTTTGAGCCCCTCACCTTACAAAATTGGTAGGTTTTAGCCCCTAACGTTATAATATAACACTTTTAGCCCTTTACCTTACAAAGTTGGTAAGTTTTAACTCCTCACCTTATAAAATTGATAGGTTTTAACCTCTCATCTTATACTATGACACGTTTAGCCTCTTATCTATACGAATTGAAGAAACTAGCTCTCACTTAATATTAAATTATAATATTATCTTAATTCTGTTAACCAACTATCAGTTCTGTTAACTGACTATTAGTTCTGTTAGTTGACTATTAGTATCCGTTAATATTCTGTTAATGAAACTAACAAATAAAATTGAAATTAAATTTCATGTTTTTCATAACGAAATATTAATGAATGTTAACAGTCAGCTAATAGAACTAACAGAATGTTATAACCTCATATTAGGTAAGGGGTTTTTTTCATTAATTCGTATAGGTGAGGGGTTAAAAATGTCATAATATAAGGTGAAGAGTTAAAACCTACCAATTTTGTAAGGTAAGGGGTTAAAACCTATGAAATTTGTAAGATAAAGAGTTAAAAATGTCATATTATAAGGTGAAGGGGTAAAACCTATCAATTTTATAAGGTAAGGGGCTAAATATTAATATTTGCCCTCTGCGTCTCTGCCAAATTTTTTTTGCTGATGATAGCCCTTGGTGTGCAAAGATGGAATTAAGATGGACTGGTAAAGCAATATTACCAAACTTCAATGGGCTTTTACGCAACCCAGGCCAAACCAAACCAATTTCTCCTGGTCCAAAACGCACCCACAGGCGCAGAGAGACAAGCCCAAGTCCCCCATGTGGGTTGTTGTCTTCTCTCTCCAAGCAAAAAGCCACCAACACCACCACTTAAGCCAGAAGCCCTCAGGCCACAGCTGCACCAGAAGCTCAGATCACATTATCTTATCATCGGCAACGCCAAGCAATGCAAGCTGCAGCCATGGCAGCACATACTATCGTCACTGCTTCCCCTTCCCACCATACCTTTCTCTCCCCATTCCCAAGCCGTAACCTACCTTGCGTTCAATCTACATTCAGGGGTCTTCCTCTCAGGCTCCCCCGTCAGTCTCTGTCCATCTCCGTCGCTGCTCCAAAAAGGTCTCTTGCTATAGTTGCTGCCACCAAGAAAGCAGTCGCCGTCCTCAAAGGTGATTCTAAAGTGGAAGGGGTCGTCACGTTGACCCAGGAAGATGATGGTCCGTTTCCTGTCTTCCCTTTTTTTTTTTTTAGCTTTTATTGATTTGTTTGCTTTATCTCATTGCATTTCCTCTTTTGTTTTTCTGCTTACTCGTGTGGAATCTGAATTTCCCCTTGACGATTCTCTGTTCTATTGCTGAGTAGGAATTAAAAGTGTCAACATTATTGCTATCGGATATTTTGTTACCAAGTAGAATTTTTATGTTTGTTTCTCCAGTTATGAGCTTAGGCTTGGTTGTTTCAGAAGTTGGAATCATTTTTGTTCTCAAAGAAATTAGCTTTGACTTTCTCTTTTTGGATGAAATAAAATCTTCTACTTCTTTCCACCCCACACTGTATATCCTTTTGAAACACAGTACTCATTGGGTTTGGTAAACTGAAATTGATTGCAAAATCTAGTTTTTGGTGCTTCCTATTTAGGATGATATTTGTTTTCTGGGTGTTTAGGGTTAATGAAGCAATTGAAAAGGTTATTGCTTTAAAACAAATATCAAGCCTGCGATGCAGTTCTTGAAAATGAAAGCGTTTCTTACATCAACAATACTAAAATTCAAGAGAAAAAACAATCTTATGTCTTTTCTGCCTGCAAGTTTTCTTGGGAAACCAAATGTTGTTATTATGGTGCTATGCTTACTCGTGTTTATGTGAATAGGTCCAACCACTGTCAATGTTTGTATTACTGGACTTACTCCTGGGCCTCATGGGTTCCATCTAGTGAGTTTTCTTTAACTTCTCATCGTCCCTGGAGTTGAAATTCTTAATATTGAAAAGTTTTCTTCTTTTTTCCTTTTTAATGGTAATAATATAGAAAAGTTCTCTAAGGTTTGGCCCTTTAACATTGTCATTGTTTTCTTTGTAGCATGAGTTTGGTGACACAACAAATGGATGCATGTCAACTGGTAAGACTTTTAGCATTTGAACCTAATCATATTATATAGGTGCCTAGTATTGTTTCAAATTCAAAGTGAATTAATTAATTGTGATACTTCCACTTTTCAAAATTTCAAACCATAGGAGCACATTTCAATCCTAACAACATGACACATGGTGCTCCTGAGGATGAAATCCGTCATGCGGGTGACCTGGGAAACATAATAGCCAATGCTGATGGTAATGCATTCTTTATTGAAAAAGAAAGATGTTTTCTTTAAATCATTCTGTGAACCAGTTAAATTTAATTATTTGAAAATATCTGGCTTTCTCAGGAGTAGCAGAGGCCAAAATTGTGGATAACCAGGTACAGTTCATAATTCAATTTTCTTTTGTCACTTGTATGTGAAGTTAGACTCTAGTCCCTGTTTAGTCTTTTCAAGTATTCATTTTAATCCTCTTGTGCAGATACCACTTAGTGGTCCCAACGCAGTTATTGGAAGAGCACTGGTGGTTCATGAGCTTGTGGATGATCTTGGAAAGGGTAATTATTTAGCTTGCAATTCTCACCTTTCTGAGAAAACTTGTTTTCAGACATTGGAGCATATATTATTGTGATTAGAGAAGGGGGACCTGAAATGACTCTGGTTGGGATTTGGGAAAATAATTCTTTTGCTTATTTACACATGTGCCCTTAATAGTGGCTGATATCAGTACAAGTCAGTGGCTTTTTTTTTTTTTGTTTACGGTGAAGTCCTTTGAAGTTTATTGTCATTTTTTTCAGTTTTGGTTATTTTTCTTCTTTCTTTTTGTATCCTCACTCCTTGGTTACGCATTTGTAGGTGGGCATGAACTTAGTCTTACCACTGGCAATGCAGGTGGAAGATTAGCCTGTGGTATGTGAAAATGTATCACTTCTTAATTACAGGCATTTTGATTTGTTGATTTGTTGATTGGTTGATTTGTTGATCAATTATTTTGGATTAGCTAATTTCAAGTCTTAGTTTTATTTGAGGTGACAAAGTTTAGATTTAGTTCAAACCTTTCCCAGAACAGAAACCAAATTCATTTGCTCACTGTGGGCAAAACCCTGCTCAACATGTGGAAACATAACTAACTTAATACAGTCAACAAACACTTGGAATCTGCTGATTTATGTTGTCATTAGTCAGATATGTCAGTAATTTAGAATTCTGGAACTACTGTTTAAGTGATAATATATTACATCCCAGTGAAGCCAACATGCCTTTCACAATTCTGGATTAGAGCTTTTTTGGAAATTTTTTTTTCCAGCTATTACTCATAACTAGAATTTTATGTACAAACCTGTCATCTGTGCAAGAATCTCAATGATGTAAATAATGACAGATGAGTCTCTTCAATATTTGCTTTGAACAATGGAAGATAATCATGTAAGCATAAGGGTAAACTTTGCAGTTACAACTTACAAGTTGGTTCAGACAACAAAGGGATCAAGAGAAAGCAAGAATCAACTATCGATAAACTCTAGATTTCTTGTCTCTTTTTTATTTATATTTGATCTAGGACCTTGTGGAGGCTAGAATTGATATTCTTAATGATTTTATGTTCTTTAAGTTTAGCAAGCAGCAGATTCTATATATATACTTGCTAGTAACATGCCAGTTGGGATCCATAACATGAATCCTTTTCCTCCTTTCTGACTGATGAATGACTATTTTTTGTTAAGGTCTAAAAGAAATGAATCCTTTCTTACCACTTAGCTCATATTAATAACTTAAGCTCATGTAAACAGAGAAGAGATGATTTGATGGATTTGACAGTTAAAGCATAAGATAAAGTATGTCCTTGAGAGCAGTGGCAGAGCCACATACATCTATGGTTGGGCATGGGCCCTACCATGGGTTCTAAAAAATCAAAAAATAAAATTAAAAACATAGGATTTTAGGGGAAAAAAAGGATTAAAGGCCGTAGTCTTTTTATAGGGATAAAAAAAAGCCTAAGCTCAAGTTTGAAGAAAGAAAAGGCCCTACCTTAAATTGATTTTTGGTTCCACCACTGCTTTAGAGGATGATCATTCAATATGACTTGCTCTCTGTCATTTTATGTCTTTAAATTCCAACCATCTTTGCATGCCTCCTCTAATTTCCTTTCATACTCTCATCTGTTTCAGAGTTTCTTATTAATTTTCAACTTTAACACTTTGTTCATCATGTGTGTACAGGTGTTGTTGGTTTGACTCCAGTGTAGCTCTCTTCTGGACTAGCATTATTAGTCACTTGCTTTCACCGTTTCTCTCATAGAGCAAGATGTTCCCACTAAAGACTGTCATGTAAAATTACGGACGTAGCAAGTGTCAGGAAAATATGTTTGCATTGATTGGTCTTTGTTTACCATCATTTCCTACTGAATAAAGCTTGTGGTTGTGGATATGATGTGCTATGGTTGTGAATGTGAACAAGTGGTTATGCTTGCAGACCTCAATCTTTGTCACCAAGCGTGTGAATGCAATATAGAACTTACTTCTAATTTTGTTTACTTGAATTGAATTATTACTTTAGTTCCTTCTTTCTTGTAGACTTTCAAATAGGATAAGCTGTTATTCTCGGCCAGTGGTAAGAAATTCCTCAGCAGGGCGTAAGCCAGTCATGCATTGGGCAGGAGTAGAGAAAATACTTATCGTAGAAAATTGGAATCACATCACTTTCACAAAGTCCACTAATTAGCTGCAAGTTGTTCTACTCCAGATATCTGAATCAGGAAGCAGATGAGCTGTTGAAGCAACTGGCTTTAATTTATAGTTGGTAAGTAATAATTGCTGCATATACAAATATCTCATAGCTAGAACTTTGTTCTTGCACGTTTCTCTTTTGATAATCTGTAGCTCATTTGACAAATGGAACAAGTAGAGTTGTTGATTAAACTTCTTCACATGCATAAAGAGATTGTTAATGAGTCATCTCTTGTAGATTGGAATTTGAACATGGATTGTAGGACTTCTTATGTGCTAAATAATCATATAGTACTCAGTTTCTAGAAATTAACCCTGATAAAGGAATTTGATTTGGTACGTAAGTCATAACAAATGGGTGACTCAGTAGGTCAGTCTAACTGGTGAGTGACAGTAGATTTAACATTAGGTCAGGGACACCAACGGACTTCTGTTGGGTAAGCAACCTAAAGATTAGAGATTTAAGCATAACATTGGAAAAAGAGAGAAATTTGCATAGAATTTAACCAGAACTGGAATGGTGAGTGATTCAAAAGGCAGATAGCCTATTGGCTAGATAATGTTGCCTATCTCTATGTATCATTAAAGTAATTTGGAATCAAATCTTATCTTCAACATGGATTTGAAGGATTAATCAATTAAATCGATGGAGGCAATTAAGTGTGAGGTTCAAGTGGAGTGAGTGAAAACAGTGCAAGTCCTAATTAGCATTTGAGTTGGCACAGGGTCATTGTCTTTGAAGGTTTCTAGTCTTCTATTTCTTCAGTGTGTTATGCATTAGTTACAACTTCCAAGCATTACTAACACTCAAAGTCATGACTGTTCTCACTTGTTCTAGTTCCCATATCCACCTACTACCCACTTGTATCTTTCAACAAGATTATAGGTGAAGATATTTAATCTTTTTCCTTTCTTTTTGTTAGATTTATAACTTGAGGAATCAAATGCTGTAATACTGCAACAAATATTAGAAATAAAGCATTGACTTGTTTGCCTTAATTGCTTTGTTCAACAAACCATCAAGCCTGGAAGTGCGTATATAATTTATTTTTGGTGGCCTGGGTCCACGATTGTTAGCTACCTTTTATTCTCCTTCAAGATTAATGGATCTGAAATTATATCTTCTTAAGCTTGGTATTATACACTTATTTTAAGATGAGCAAATTCAAATCTAAAACTTCTCAAAGTCTCAGCTAAGAAA